ATTTCACTGAAGATGATTGAACAACAACAAAGGTTACAGCAGTACACCGACAGGAAACTGTCACGATGGATTCAGAAGAGACTGGAGTGAGAGATCCCGCCGCTGAGGTCAGAATGGCCTCGGTTGAAAGTGGAGAACACAGCACGCCTCATGACCTTGTGCTCTGCTTTACTGCACTTCTCCTGTATTTCTGGGATGTCAGGAAGGGACTCTGACTTTTCAAGGACTGCATTTTAAAACGTAAAACAAATTCGAGGTTTGTGGCTACCTTGCATTCGGCAAGCCCATCGGTACCATTTTGCCAGAAGCATGTGCATTTTTCTTATCTCTCACAATATTTCCAACTTTTTCATAATGCTACGGAGCGTTCAGGAGACTATGGTATAGTGTAACTATAACTGTTTCTTCTATCAATAGGAAATGAAAACATTTGTGTGCCTACCTGTATTATGATGCCACTTTATTGCAGTGGTCCGAAACGAAACCAAGGAGCCCTGGTGGTTATGCAGTGGGCTGCTAACCACAAGGTCAGCAGTTCAAAACCACCAGATTCTCCGATGAGGAAAGATGAGGCTTTCTACTTCCGTAAGGAGCTGCAGCCTCAGAAACTCCCAGGAGCAAGCTATCCTGCCCTCTAGGTCACTGTGAGTTAGATCTGACTGCATGGCAGGGAGTTTGAGTTCGGTTTTTGAAACGGAACCCACATCTCTGAGGTCAGGGTGAAGCGTGACGACATTCACCTACCTTGTACTGACTGTTCAAAGGTGGATCAGAAACACAGTTTGAGCAAAGGGTGGGGATTCTACCGTAAGGTGTGCTCAGGGGTTGCACCCGCTCACCACCCTTACTCGGTATGCTGAGCCAATAATCGGAGAAGCTGCACTACATAAAGAGGAATGTGTCGTCAGGATGGGGGAAGGCTGAATAACAGCCCGAGATAGGCGACAGACACAAGCTGGCTTGCTGAAAGCCAGGAGGACGTGAAGCACTTACTGACGAAGATCAAAGACCCCAATCTCCAGGAAGACACCTTAACATAAAACAAAAATCCTCACAACCGAACCCATCACCGACCTCATGGCAAACGGGAAAGGTATCGATGTTCCCAAGCTTGTCCTTTTACTCGGACCACAATCAATAATAATGGAAGCAGCAGTCCAGAAATCAAAGCATGTATTGCTGTGGGTACCAATTTTCTGCAAAAGACCTCTTTAAAGTGCTAAGAGCCAGGAAGTTACCTCGAGGACGAGGGTGGGCCTGACAAGGTCGTGGTCTTGTCCATCGTCTCACACGCACGCGAGTTGGAACCACCACTCACGAACAATAACATACCATGACACCTTGACTCCACAGAAAGAACACACTGAGTTAACCCTTGGTAGCACGGCGACAAGCAAGCCCTCGCTGGGATTCTGAGTCTTGCGCCGCCAAGCCCAAAGAACGAGAGGCGAGACTTGATGAGACCACGGCAAGTGGCGAACAGCAAGGATGCCACCCATCCAGACCTGATGAGAAGCAGCTTTTTTGTTTTTAATTAAAAACACCGCTCTTAAAATGCCTCATTCATTTTCTGTTTTTATAGAACCCAAAACGCAGGAATTTCTCTTAAATGAAAAACAGGAATGGTCCAACCGTCTTTGTGTTTTTGTTTTTTTTTAAGCAAGTTAAAAAAAGATGCCCAGGAAATTGTTCTTTGTAACTCTGCCAGTTTCAATGCTGGTTCTTTAGGCAACTGGTATCAAGAGAATCATACATGGCTGAAGCAGAAGTGAAGGCAAGGCAGCCCCCAGGACCTGCTTCGTACACATTTCAGTTGTCTGTGTGCGCGATGGGAGGCTAGCTCCCCAGACTGCAATAGCACTGAGGGACAGGAAAAGGGAAATCGTTACGGCAACAGTGTCAATGTTTTAGAGACCCCAAGCCGCCTCCCAGAGAAAGAGGCCCCTAGACACGCACCTGACAGCAAGGCTGATGACTTTTGATGCCTTCTATTAGTGTCACAACTTGAAAGAAGGACATGGGTCAAGTTTTGACTCAGTAACAGAGTGCATTAAATTCAATCTAGATGAGTGGCATTTATTAAATGCCTACTATTTGCTCTTCCATGTGGCTGGTATTTTTTTCCTGGCTACACCCTAGGTCCTTGTGCAAAGAACCCAACCCATCTATCTCCTGGTTGCGAAATGATGAAATCCTCATGCTCTACCCATGGGGATCCCCTGACATTTCTTGGGTAAACTGTAGCCTAAGAGGTATCAGGAATCCGTGTAAGAAATATTCTAAAGAGCTATTGTCACTGTGAAGATGAAAGTAACTCTGATGATCAAAAAGAAGTCAATAACAATAAAAAAAAAAAGGACTGATAGTAGTTCCTGAATCCTCCCCTCTTGCTCATTTGGGATTTCTTCATTTTCCTCCTCTCAATATATTATGGACTTTTCCGTGTGAAGTTCTGCCACACATTAGAGTGATGTCAACAAAGTTTTACCTTAAGTCATATTTTATCACACGCTGGAGAGGCTCTGGTCCTCCGGGGAGCACCGTTTCCTGTTTCCAAGAAGCTCGTCCTTTCTCCTTCTTTGAGTTACAAATGTCTCTGACAGAGGCCTGAGCTCAGCTGGCCTCCAGAGACCAGGACACGGATGCTGGTGAGACTGGGGGGGTCACTCTGCGGTCTCAGGCGGCATTTCCTGTGGTTCCATCTGCCAGGTCTTGGGGTCCCTTGCTGTTTGCTTTTTTTTCTGCCCATGAAGATGGAGGTGCAAGGTGGCATTTTGCTGCTGTACCAGCTATCGGGAACAGTGTGCTTCTCTTCCCGACTCCTTTCATTAACTTGCTTCAACTCAACCCAGTCTTACAATGAAAACAAAGACTTAGTTCTACTGCTAGTATGCAGCTCTCTTTTTTATGAACGTAAAATGTTGTGTCTTAAAAATGATTATGCGAGGGCAAAGGTTTGGAATTCAGATGAGCCTGGATTGAAGGCACCTCTCATACTTACTCCGCCACCGCCTGTCACTTGAGGGAGGCTTGTGTGCTATTGGGAAGCCAGTCCACTGGGTCACACATGCTGGACAGATGTGAGGAGCGGTTCTAGACTAAGACTCAGAAGAAAAGCCTGTTGATCAATTTCTGAAAATGAGCCAACAAAGAGCCCACTGGAGCACGATGGAACCTAGTTTGACCTGCTTGCTTTGGACGTGCCACGGGGGTGGGGGGGAGAGAATGCCCTGGGCAGGGCACCATGTGTGATGAAGCCAGCGAGGGTGAGGGAGATGCTCGGTGAGCTGGACTGGCTGGCATCGTGGCCACAGCCATGGGACTCAAGCCTGGGATCGATCATGAGGGTGATGCAGGACGGGGCCACGGTTCGTTCTCCTGTACACGAGGTCACCAGGCCCCAGAGCTGGGGCCACGGCACTCCCCATCTTATCCACCTGCTTCTTACAACTGCGTGACCCTGGATGCATTGATCAGTCTGATTCGGTGGGCAATTTTAAAACGGGGGTGATCATACTGACCTCACATGGTTCGCTTAAGGAGTCAATGAGTATGCGTGACATTTCTTGCATCGTATGCATCACATTATAGGCACTCGAAAAACTCTTAACTATGATTCCGTTTTTCAGTTTGGTTCTTCACCCACGTATAACTGACTTAGGCACTGCAGGGCCTTTTAATATTTATAGTAATCGTCACGTTTATTATGATGATGCATGGATTTTTATATTTAGGTACACATATGCATACATAGCTAGCTATTCATGCTTATCCTCTATGGCATAGACACATACATAACACATGCATATCACAAAGGACAGAAGAGAGTAGGAAAGAATTTAGAGAGCCAGTTCAATGAAGTAACACTCAACAGCTACTTGGAATTCACTTTGGCCGTTTTGTATAATGCCATGTCTCAGGATCCCATGGTAAAGCTGCCCGTAGATCAGGTCTTCTTGACTCATCTAAGTTCAGGGTGGACGCTCTCCAGAGTCACAGTGAACTAACTTCGGGTTCCTGTCCTGAGTCTCACTATGAGATCATTCAATATAAAAGTCTGCTACGTCCATCGGGGCAGGCTCTGTCCCCACTGGCTTATGGCACAACTTTAGAAGGACAATATCCATGCTATACCCAGTGGCCTTGGATCACGCATTTATGAGAGGGCTCACTACGAGGCAAGCTCTTTATTGATACTTTATTGACTTTTAAACTTTAAATTGTCAAAACCACCACCGAGAACAATTCATTATAATCAGAAAAACTGCATGGAAACACGTGTCATTTGAAGAGCAAACAGCTCATTAGCTATTATCATAGCCAGCGACTTCTGGTTTATATTAGATGATTTCATTAACACGAGGGGGCAGAAAGATGAAAACTCACAAGAAAGGGTCATTCTGTCTTAAAGTAAAACGGCGTCCATTTGCTGTGAAAGGACGGCAGCGCAGGCACTGCTGGCTGCTTGCCTCACACGCCTCTCCCTCCTCCCTGCTCAGGCTGCTCTTCCTCAGCTGACTGCGCCACCAACCCGCAGACCCCAACTGGGCTAGGCCAGCCTCCATTCTCCGAGTCCCCTGGCAGGGCCTGGGCACGCGACTTGCTCTGGCCCCTGGATGTGGAGAGGGGGAGGGCAGTGTGGAGGAGCATTTTCCTCATTCTGCAGAAGGAGACCTCCCAACCTGACAGCCCCTTTCTACACCTGGGCAGGAAGGGGAACATGGCCTGCTGCAGCCATCTTGGATACACCTGTCGAGTCAGGGGAACAGAAGCAGAGCAAGCCCAGAGGTCCTCTGCCCAGAGCCGGCCCCGTGGGAGGACTCTTGTTTTTTGTGAAGTCATGCATTCTCTCACTGCGTATGCCAACAAGAGGTGGCGCTTCCTGTTCCTCACACCCAAGGCACCCCGACTGAGCGGGCAACGCCTGTGCTCCTGGACCTGGAGGAAGCCCACCAGCCCGCCAGCCCCCACGCCCACAGGGACAGCAATGGACAGCGCACCTGTTCCTGGGACTCCAGCTCTCGGTGCTGTAGCTTCTTCTCCACGTTGCGCACCTGATTGGAGCGGGCATCTAGTTCATCTTGCAGGGCCTGAAACAGCACCAGAGAGAGAGGGGAACATGAGACAGTCCCATCCCAGAGAGAAAGTTTCACCACACGGACTGGCAGGAAAAAGGCCTCGGGTCTCCATTCTCACTGTTGTTCCAGAAGCGCCCGGGCAAACACAAACAGACTTGTGTGCGCCAGGCCCACATGGTTCTGTTGGAAGGAATGCCTAGTTTGAAAAAAAAAATAAATCCCAAGCTCATTATACGGGAAATTAGAAGGTGTCCATTCATTTGGGGGAAATGTCTATTATAGTCTCAGCTTCGACCCACAAGCACGTAATAAGGTGTAAAACTATTGTTCATTAAACCAGCTCTGTCAATACACCTGCAAGGTGCACTTGCCATCTGTAAAGTGTCCTGACATAGAGCAGGATTGGGCCAACGGGACATGCTTTGAAATGACACTGTGGTACTCTGAGTAAATGACAGGCTCAGGAGAATGGCTTGGAATTTAAATAACTAGTGAGACATGG